TCACTGACAGTAACTTCTGAAGATTCCATTTTATTTTAACTGCACATCTGAAGGCATCAAAAATTGCTTTCAGTCTCACTGGGTCATACTGGCAAACACCAGCTGCTTTTCCAGTGCTTACAGAGTACACATAATTACCATTGATGTAACTAAACAAAGGGATGCAGACCTGAAAGCTAAATATAGGATGTTAGGAGATAAATGAAAATATAGGACCTCAAATGTATAATCTTGGGATTTCTCCCAAATCCACGTGCTTGCGAGAGCAGGAATAAGAGGATAGATCAGAAGAATGCTTGGCTGGAAAAATGGAGTAGTAGGGAGGGTTTTAGCTTCTTGAGGCACTGGCACCATTTCTAGGGAAAGTCTAACAGTTTGCACCTGGGCAGAGCTGGAACAAATATCCTCACAGAGGCTTTCGCTAATCCATTGGCGAGGTTTCAAATTAGTACTGCAAGGTATTGGAAATCAAAGTATAGGCTTAGATGCGTCAGATTCAGATCAGAAAACAGAAGGTCAAACATTAGTTAGTGATATACTTAGCAACTTAGAAAGACAAAAGAAACAAGGATTAAAAAGCATCCAGCAATAGAAATTGATGGGCTTGAGCTGTTTATTATTCAATGCAAGGTGAATTACAAACAAGGCAGATAAACTAAGGGCACAGATAGACACATGGCAGCACAACATCATTGCTGTAATGGAAACCTGGCTAAAGGGGGCGGGGGCAAAATTGACAGTTCAATATCCCTATATATAGAGTTTTCAAGCAGGATAGAGTGAGTAACAAAAAAGGAGGGGGTAGCAGTATTGGGTAAAGAAGCGATTAGAGTTGTGAGAAGGTAAGATATAGTAAACAGGTTAACAAATAAGGCTTTATGTTTTGAACTTAGGAATAAAAAACAGCAGTCACACTATGAGGTATATACTATAGACCCTCAAATAGTGAGAGACAAAGATAGAAGAACATATATGTCAAAAATTTCTGCCTGTAGGAATAAGAGAGCAATATTAGTAGGAGATTTTAACTATCTCAATATCAACTGGGTTTCAAACAATATAAGGGGCAAAGAGCATGAAAATTAATGTACTGTGTCCAGGATTTTTTTAAACAATATGTGACAAGCCCAATGAGAGGAGATGCAATTCTAGATTTAGTTTTGGAAAATGAAGATGGGCAATTGGGTAACGAGACAGTGGCAGTATTGTCGTTCAGTTGTTAGCACGGTGGCTTCATAACACAAAAGACCTATGTTCATTTCCACCCTTGGGCAACTGTCTGTGTAGAATTTGTACATTCTCCCTGTGTTTTGTCTACCAGGCTGAAGATGTGCAGTTTGTGAGAAGATGCGGAGGACATAGGAAGAATTTTCAATGTATTTTCTGTCTCCATATTCATCAAAGAAAGGGATGATGTAGTAATTCAAGAGGAGCAGTGTAAAATGTTGGACAAAATAATCTTAACAAGGGAGGAAATTTTAGAGGAGTTGGAATGCTTGAAAGTGGATAAGTCACCAGTGCCAGATGGATTATTCCCTAGGATGTGAAGGAGGTTAGGGAGGAAATAGCAGGATTATTTTGCAATATTCACCAGACACAGGTGAGGTGCTAGAGGACTGGAGGAATGCAAATGTGTTTCGGTTGTTTAAAAAGATTACAGAGGAAATGCTAAGCAATTATAGACCTGTTAGTCATACTTTATTGGTTGGCACATTGTTAGAATCAAGCCTGAGTGATCAGATAAACTGTTACTTAGAAAGGCATGGACTAGTCAGGGATAGTCAGCATGACTTTGTTAAGGGAAGGAAATGCCTTACAAATTTGATTGAATTCTTTGAGTAGTGACAAGCAGGGTTGATGAGGGTAGTGCAGTGGATTATAGCTACTTTTTGTTTAATTTGTGAGTTGGAACAGATGACACAAAACTTTGAAGAATTGTAAACTGTGAGGACTGTGTGAAAGGGCATTGACAAGCTGGTGGAGTGGTCAGATAGGTGGCAGGAGAGTTTTAATGCAGAGATATTTGAAGTGATGCGTTTTGGTTGCAAGAATATTGAAAGGCCATGTAAAATAGGACATACAATTCTAAAGAATATATATATGTACAGATCATTGAATATGGTAGGACAGATAGACAGTATCCTTAGCTTTATTAATACATCCATAGAGCACAAGACCAAGGAGGCGATTTTGAATTTGTATAACTGGAGGTGACAACCTAGTGATATTATTGCTAGACTGTTATCTAGAGACATGGGTAATGTTCTGGGCACCTGGGTTCCAATCCTGCCACAGCAGATGGTGGAATTTTAACTCCATTGAAATGCAAAATTAACAGTCTAATGATGACTATGAATCCATTGCCAACTGTTGGAAACAAAACCATGTGATATACTAATGTCCTTTAGGGAAGGAAACTGCCATCCTTAAGTGGTCTGGCCTGCTTGTGACTCCAGACCCACAGCAATGTAGTTGACTCTTAACTGCCCTCTGTGCAATTAGGGATGGGCAATAAATGCTTGTCCACCTTGGCAATATCCTGACCCTGTGAAAAAAAAATTAACAAAAGATAATTGCTTGATCTCAGCTGGACCACTGTGTACAGTTCTGTGTATTACATTATGGGAAGGATTTCAATACATTACAGACGGCACAGAGCAGTTTACCAGTTCCAGAGTTGAGGAACTTCAGTCATGAGAATAGATTGAAAAAGTTGAGATTTTTTTTCAGATGAAGCTTAGGAGGAGATCTAATAGAGATTTTTCAAAATCACGAGCCAGCTGGATACACTAGAGAGGAGAAACTGTGCCCGCTCACAAAATAAACAAGAGTGACAGGACGTAGATTCAAACTGATCTGCTAAAGAAGCAAAGGTGAAGTGAAAAAGAAAGATTTTTTTTTCACTCAGGGAGTAGTTAGGGTATAGAAATCACTGTCAGGAAGTTTGATGGGGACAGGTTCAATTGAGGCATTGGATGATCATTTGTATAGAAGTAGTATACGGGACTATGGGAAACAGCAGGAGACTGGCATTAGGCAATGATGTTCGTTCCTTTAAGGAGCTGATGCAGGTACGATGGGCCCAATGGCGGTAACAATTCAGATCATTTCTGAAGAACGGTCTAGGCCCGAAACGTCAGCCTTCCTACTTCTCGGCCTGCTGTGTTCATCCAGCTCTACACCTTGTTATCTCAGATTCACCAGCATCTGCAGTTCCTACTATCTCTGAAACGATTCAGATCTTGCGGGTGATCATTGAGAAGTTCAACATTTAGCCACATGATGGCGGTGGTGTCTGCCGCCGAGGCAGAGCTAGGGGACGGAACGTTATCTGGTAATTACAACCTGCCAGATTGGAGTTTATTGCACTTGAGAAAGCTTTGATGTTCCTAATCAAGTGAACCCAAACCCCACCCCCCACACCGTTTCATTTTAAAAATCGGTCCCGTGATTGTAAGTGTCAGTAATTTACATCAGCATACACAAAAAGACAGACGTTGAAAATGTGTTTGGAATTAGATGTTTTAAACAAAAACTTGAGCCCTTCATTTTGTCTTGATTTTTCAACTGCGCGTTTAAATATACAACTACCTAGATGTCTGCTTTATATCTATTATATGTGCGCATCTGTGCACATGATAATGTGTATGTATATGAATACATGTGTGTATCTACATTGGATCTGTGTGCATACACATGCACCCACTATCATTATATATAGTCAGATTACATTGTATCTGCATACCTTGCTGATCTAGAACAAGCTTTCGGGAATCTTGGATAATTATCTGGAAATCATAAAGGAAGGGAAAGGTGCGAGTACAGTGATGGATAGGAGACAGCTGTGGGACAACATGGTCACAATTTGACAATGAGCCGGGAACGGGGCGGGAGAGGGTTTATTTAAAAAGCAGCTGCGTATTGCCCCTTACTCTGACTCGGTGACTGATAATAGTTGAGATCCGGTCGATGTGTGTATGTGTGCGTGTGGCTGGCGGCGTGTCTGCCTGTCTGTCTGTCTGTGTGGTGTGTGTGTGTGTTTGAGAATGAGCTCCTGGCGGGGTGGGTGTAGGGAGTGGGAGAGGGCGACTCTCTGCTGCCTTTGCTGCCAACAGATTCCCGGCTCATTACCCTAACACCACAGCTTGAGAGAGGGATAGTGTGATCACACTGTCAATGCTACCATGGATTTGCCAGGTAACACCATCACCAGCGTGGGCATCTAGCTCACGGTGTAAAGCGTGATGTTAAAGCGTATCAAAGTAGTACGCGGGTTTAGTGCTGGGGGACAAGTTGCTGGGAGCTATCAGTAAACATTTTATCTAAGTTGGAGATCGGTTCGCAATTAGAAACGGTAAGAAGAGCTTTGGCCGCGGCTAATCTTTTAATATGAAGACAAGTCTCCAGTTTATTTGATCTCAGGTTATCTGGGGTAATATATCATCTACTTTTTTTCTGTTTGTTTGCTTTCTGAATGGGGTCAAATGGTTTGCATCAGGCTTTCTCTGGGAAGGGACTCTGTAAAGGGGCAGGATGGGGGAGGGATACTGATGATGTGCTGAACTGGGACGAGGGACAACGCCAGACCAGGGTTCAGTTATAGAATTCGTTTGTCGGAAAGGGTGCCAGAGCGGTGGAAGCTGACAATTTTAAAAAAAAACTAAGAGTGGTGGGGGTGGCGGAAATAAATCTGGAAAGTGCTATTCATTCAGGGTACACGCCGTCAGTAAGATGTACTCAACCTGCATTGGGTTGTCTGCCTGTGTCTATGTTTTTTGTTCTTTGCATTGATCCTGTCTTGTTACAGGCGATGACATCCGAAGAAACTGAAGGACGTTATTTCACCCTGTAGCAAGCTGCAATTGCAAGGAGACTGGTCAAGGAAAGAAAGCGGTGTTTTTTAAAAAAAAGACAATCCGGATCGGGGTCTTTTTTTGAGTGGAAGAGGGGGTTTCTGCACAGGATTTTAAGCGAGAAGGGGGTGGGGTGGGGGGTCTCGTATGGATCTGCCCCCAGGCCGCCCCGGCTCTCCCAACATGCTGACCGCCCTGAGAGACTCCCTGCTGCTGTTGCTGGTCCTCGCCTGCACCGGCCTGGCGCTCGCCCAGAACGACACCGAGCCCATCGTCTTGGAGGGCAAGTGCCTGGTGGTGTGCGACTCGAACCCGTCGTCGGACGGGGCGGTCACCTCCTCGCTGGGGATCTCCGTGCGCTCCGGGAGCGCTAAGGTAGCTTTCTCCGCCGTCCGCAGCACCAACCACGAGCCCTCCGAGATGAGCAACCGGACCATGACGATCTACTTCGACCATGTAAGTGTGCCCGTTCTCCTACCCATCCAGCCAGTCTCAAAAGGCTGAGTGGTTCTCTCTCTCTCTCTCACGCCGAACAGCCGTCCTAGCAAATCTGCCACTCACCCCTCACCCTGCCTCATCTCCCTCTGACAACTCGCCACCTCCCATTTATTGAGTTCTGAAAGCTATGGTCAAAGCAGAGACACAAACACAAATGCAACACTTTCCCTGTCAATGGCTCCAGCCACTTTTGTCAATGCTCCGAAGTTCCTGATCACAGGCTTGGACATCCGTGAGAGTTCCCTTCCCTGCCCAGTTCATAGATATAAAAACAGTCGTATTTTAGTCGTAAACTTTGTGTGTGTATGTGTGTCGGCAGCCAGGACTTTATTTTGCAGAACGACCTTCTGACCAGTTTGCCTGTTATGTGACTTTTGTTATTGTGAACTTTAGAACAAAACAAAATAAAGCGTTTTGTTTCGTCTACTCGCGTTATAAGCGCAGCTTCCAAACCTTCCGAATGGTTTTATTATCGGGTCCTGTCAACCCATGGCCAATGGGAATCCCCTGCTGACACTTGCCGGGGTACCCTTCTCTCTCCCTTGCGTGTTATTGTCATGTCAAACCGAGCCGAATCTCAGGGATTCAACAATCCGATCTCTAGGCACACCATTCATTGACTTAAATAATGTATCTACGTCTCCCTCCCTCGCTAAGCCCCTCAAGTGTTGGTGTCAAGCCAATCTCAGATGGCCCGGTGCTTTGTGCTCTCTTGCAGGTCTTAGTTAACATTGGGAACCATTTCGACACGAGGTCCGGCACTTTCGTGGCGCCGAGAAAGGGCATTTACAGTTTCAGCTTTCACGTGGTCAAGGTGTACAACCGGCAGACGATCCAGGTAGACAGGGGCTCTTTGTCCGCTGGACTGTTGTTGCCACTGGGTAACTGATGTCGTCCAATTGTAAACTGTAAAAACGAGCCGCTGGGAGATGGGCGGCACAAGAGGGGAGTCGATAGGCTGCAGAATGGGAGGGAGATTGTTCCCGTATCGCTGCAAATAGTGCGGCTAGACTGTTTCTCTCTAATGTGGGAGCAGCCTTCTGGTCCTCTGGGACTGTGGCGATTTTACCTTGCCTTTAATGCGGGAAAGAAACCAATTATGCATTTATTTGTGCGGACATAATCTGAAAGGTTCCGTTACAATAAGAAAACGCAGCGAGGCAGCTAACGACCTCTAACGTGTCACTGGCTCGCCAGTAAATTGAAAGCGCTGTCCCCGGTACTGTCCGTGCAAAAGTCAAAGTTGTAAAGGCATTCTTTCTTCCCTTCTATCTCTGTCTTTCTTCACTCCCTTCACCCCGTCCAGGTCAGTTTAATGCAAAACGGCTGGGCTGTCATTTCTGCTTTTGCCGGGGACCAGGACGTGACCCGGGAGGCCGCCAGTAACGGAGTGCTACTGAACATGGAGAGAGAGGACAAAGTCTATTTAAAGCTCGAGAGAGGCAACTTAATGGGAGGATGGAAGTATTCGACGTTTTCTGGCTTTTTGGTATTCCCTCTATAAAAGGGAGACGCCAATCCATTTTTGTTTTCTCCCTGAGGACCAACTCTCCCGTGTACATGACCGCTATTTGCAACGGAACCAGATTATTAGACCAAAAACAAAGCATCCAAACTGCTAAGTAGGGGCAGATTAACCTACCGATTAGAATGATTTCTTAGAATGCTGACAATCGCCTTGGCCAGCGTGGTTCGAAGTAGTTCTGGCGACAGTGCTCTCTATAGGAATATCAAGTGAATTTATTGACAGCGACAGACTACTGGCTAGACAAATCAAGCTGGATTTTCTCACGGGCGGATATCACTGACCTAAAGGAACCGAAACGTGGTGGACTTTGATCGGTTGAAACAGCCGTAATTTAAACACACACAAAAAAGTTAGAGATTTTTTGTTTGATTTCAATGTTCTAGCAATGCTTTCTTTCGTGTTCGTATTTAGCCTTAAGTAAAGAACAAGTCCAAATTTAGTGGCGTGTTTTTTTAAAAAAAAATCTGGGGCAAATCATGTGCCGTTTCTGTGTGGGGTGAGCTGGTGCTTTCTCGAAAACAAAATAGGTTTCTTTGCACGAATTGAACGCAGATCTTGTTCCTTTGTGTTGTGGTTGGTGTTCTTCGACCTCTTGGGTACAAAACAGAGTTACGTATAGCTTAATATCACGGGACGTACCACGAATGATTGTAATAAATGGACCCAATTATTTAATGATGTGCTTTTTTTATGATTTGTCGACTGCTCCTCTACCGCGCGGACAAATACTGACTTAAAAGCCTCTCTACTTTAAAAAAGGGAATTGAAAGTTTTTGCATTTTTTCTTTGCTCTTAGTCGCAGTAAATCGGAAGTTCTCTTTAAATATTTTAAATAAACACGTTCCCGCAAGATATATATGACCTGCCCAACATTGACGTTATCAATTGGTTCAAATCAAACTGGTAGTCCGGATACAAAATATGACAGAATTAATTCTTTGTGTAAGTTGTCCAAATTTTAATTGCTAAAGGTAGGTCCTTCACACTACTGATTATTTTAAGTTTCATGGTCATTAATCTATTACTCATATTGAGATGAAGCTTTTATTTTTCCATTTTCCGTTGAAGTTAGGCTGCGCGCTCAGGGTTGTTAAAGTATCAATTCATTCCTGCACAGAAATTAACCATCAAACTTAAATATGTAATTAACAAAATCACCCCCTTGGCCACATACCAGAATGTTTGCTGATATCGTAGGCACGTCCCTTCCATATGTACAGCACTGAATTTCTGTTTACTGTGAATACGACTTATGACTGCCTCACCATTAATCTAATAAATATTCATTTTCAAGCGAACGAGAGTTAAAAATGCCCTGGATGATAACCCGCTATCTGGTATATGGCGTTTAAATTAATAATGCTATATCACAGGCCAAATCCATCCTCAATTCTTAGACTGAAGCTCTGAATCTGAATCTGATCAGCTTTCACTGCACGGTTCAATCATTGAAAATTGTATGGCCCTACTAGCGGTGAGCTGGATACTTTTGCAGCATTAGGCAACCGTAAGAAATCCTAAGCAATTTTTAGTTCACTGCGTGTTACAACAAATGCCATTTCTTGGGTTGAAGATCTCTGTGCAGTCCTTAGGGAATTGAGTTGTTTTGCAGATCACCAAGATAGGCTGGTAATATGGTTATTTTTATTTTTCATCGAAATGTAACTTGACTTGCGATTATGTAATATCAACTTCTTCCCTCACATCCATGGAGCAGCTTAAGTAATTGCCTGACCAAATTCGTTAGGACTTTATATCTCTGAACACTGTCATTCAGATCCACACACTCATTAACCATGGGTGTCATTTGAGCTGAAAGGTAAGGAGTTAGTGCATGATATATGTACATAAACACAAGAAAGTGTCAGGTTAACATGGACACAAGAATACAGCATGCTTTTTACATTTATGTGATATTATTCTTATATGTCTTTACAAGCAGGGTACCTTGTAGAGACATGCCAACTTACTGTAGCATATAATCAATGTGCAGTGGATTGAACTGACACATTCACTTGAATTTACGTGTGTGTGTGTGTGTGATTGTGTGTGTGTTGTTAGTTAGTAGGAAATGGGTTTAATTTTTCTTCAAATTACTGCCCAATATAACTGAAAGAGCCACTTTGAAGGTCATCTGCTATTTGGCTCCATTAGAACTTTATGGTTATAATTTATATCAGAGATATACAGAGATGGCATTTTCAAAGATGGCATATGGGATGGCAAAGCTATCTCCAGAAATATTGTTCCACTAAGTGATACAGTACAGAATCAGTCTTTGCGACTGATTTTGATCAATTTTAGTGTCTTATCTCTGGGAGTCTCTTGTGCTCACTATTTTCTGTCTCTGCCTCCTTTCCTACTTGGTATTTGACAGAAAAGAGATTTGAAATGTGGATTTTTATTCAAATACAAAATAATTGATGAAAAAAGAATTACCATAATTATTCACATCATCCAGTGTATAGGTATGACAGGTAACATCATTGTCATGTTTAAACATAACTCAAAAAAACAAATGTTAAAAAAGTTTGTTCTTTTTATTTATACTAATTGAAAAACATTTTCTGTATTTTGTCATAGAACTCTATCCTGTGATCAAAGTATTGATTAGCTCTGTAGTGTATAAATGGGGTGTGTCTATGTTTGAATGCATGCATGCTACACCAAGTAAGGTTCCCATATTCAGAATTTGACTAATGTTTTTGATTTACAATGTAACCCAGTCAAATATCTCTCACTCTTGAAAAATAGACAGTTCTCTATCTTCCATTTGGGTTGCAATGTATGACAGTTGAGGATATAATCTAATGCATAATAATCTTTTTGTGTGTTTATTTGATGTGTATTCAGATATGTACTCAGAGTCTGTTAGAGAATAGCATACTCAGTGTCAAACAGAACCCACAGACCAAAACACATTAACATTTATCTTAATGTATTTCTATTAATAGTTTATTACATGGCTATATTATTTTAAGTCTTTTAGTTGGACAAATGCATTCTCTGACTTGTACTTAGCACAGAATTCACCTCTAGGTTGCAGGTCTTGTAAAATTATTGCATGGAAGTAAAGGATTGGTTTGGTACAATGATCTTTACAAAACAGAATTTTTCAGTATTAAACTCTTAAGATTGTTTTAATAATCTGCCAATTAGTATAACATGATTTATGTTACAAATTTACTATTTATTGCTCTGGGAGTGCAGTTGAGAGACTTCAGTCTAGCGGCTTCAGGATATTTGCTCATTTCTCTGACCAGACTGATACAATTAAGGTCTACATTTACATGATGCCCAGGCAGCAAGTCAATCAGTGGCATTTCACTCGTACAGCCAAGGTCCTAGCAGTTCTTGAAGATTTCACATTGTTTGCAATTACTGTGGGCACACTTTACAAGACCTTTATTTCAGAAACAAATTGGTGACATTTCAGAGATTCTCCATTTGACAACAAAAATAAATCATGATAATTAGATACCATTCTAATAGAGATATCCCAACCACTCATATTGTAATCTCAAAATCAAATTTTTACTTTAATTAACTGGTATCATGCTTATGGTAGTTTTTTGTTTGTCCTTCGTTAGCGAGTTTCTGTGTGAAAAGGCTGTCGGCACACAGTTATTTTAAGTGCACAGTACACTGTTCAAGTAGTACTAATCAGCATAGCCATATTTCTCGTTATGGTCTGCTTCAAGAATTCAGCAGGTTATCATTACTGCACGTGCAGCACTAATGTGCTGTGAGTTCACTAGAAACCAAGTTGAAACAACTCAGATTTATTTCACATAGGACACTGAGGACCTTCTGCACATAATTGGAACAAAGGTCCTAACTTGGAAAAAACAGTACATAGGCAAATGCATCTCACAATTCCAAGTTTTTCTCTTCTAAGTGAATCTGCAGTTATATCTTTTATTCATCTGTTACATGGTACTTGTTTTTAATGTACACTGCCATTTGTCCTCTGAGGATTTTTTTTTGTGAGTTTCAATGTTCGTACTTAGAATTTGAGAGAATGCGTTGTTTTCCAATTCATGGAGGAGTTGCTTAATACAAATTTTATGACAATAGATTTGATTAGAAATGTTAAAGAAAGTTAGATACCAGTTCGACAGTCTCACATCTTATTAACACAGACTTTTATATAAATCTCAGATGAACGAGTTGAATGGAACACACCACATTTTAGTCTGAACTTTCCTTGATTATACTCTTTAAATACTCCATTGGAATGCATCCTTATTTTGCACTTTCTCCTGATGATCCTAATCCAGTTACCATTCTTCTGGTGTGGTTTTTTTTTTGTTTTTGCGGAATGACTGCATCTGCTGTTAAGGAATCTGCAAGATTGTACATAATGTAGTCATGAAAGTATATTTCATCCACATCAAGTATTCCCAGATAGTCAGTCTCCACATCTGCTCGCCCCCATGCCAAATTACCTTTTTCTCTCTCTGTTTAACGTTTTATTTGTGAAAAATGACACACAATAACTGGACAACTAGAAACTCTGTATGTGCTCTGTATGTACACTATATCATAGTGTAAGGATCTGATGAACTTTATGAGATACTGTTCCAGCAGTCAGGCTAATTAACAGCTTTTTAGAAAAAAATGGTTGTTCATGCAGTGTATATAATCAATTGTATCTGGATAATCAAAGGCTTCTGAAGTGTTATTTTTAAGATGATACTTATATTTTCCCCAGCCAAAAAATGGCCGAAATTCTGAAATAAATGATATCCAAAACTTAAATGGGTTAAGACTTTGAATTAATGTGGACTAATTTAAACCGTTCTTGAGATGCTGACAAGGCCTACATTTATTGTGCATCCTTAATTGCTCTGAGAATATGTTAGGCTATTCTTTTGGAGCTTCTGCAGTCTATGCTGTGAAGATAACCCCAACATGTGAGTTCCAATTTGTTTTATTCCCTGTAGAAGTTTTAGTCAACTGTGCAGCTTGTTGGCCACTTCTCTTGACAATTAACGATGAACTAAATTACCACTATAGTCACAGATTTCCTTCTCTAAGGATATTAGT